ATTTCTCCAAAAGAGTTGTCAAAAGTTAGTTCCAAGTCTCTTGCAAAGTTCAGTGATGTCGGCTCGAGCAGACTAGCCGTATCACAGATGCCGACTTTAATAATGAATAATACTACGACCTGATTTTTCTGAGACCATAATTTGTCAAAAACAAAGGAAACACAAAAATAAATGTTGAAATTTTTAGAAACAAAGGTTATAATTCATAAGCATTTTTAACGTTTCTTTAGCGTAATAGAAAATATAATTAATAATATGACAAAGTATTTTATACCTGCAAATATTCATACAGGGTTTCTGCTTGCACTTAATCTGTATTTTCAAAACTAAAAGTCGGCTCTTTAACTACGAGTGCAGATGGCAGCTAAATTATTAATCATGGACAGCACCTGCGAAGCTTAGCTAAGAAGCAGTTTTAATGCCATCGATCTTAATTATGATAAATTGCGTTCACATTTCTTTTTTAATATCAGCAACTTCTGATAAATTAAAAAGAACAAAAATTTAAAGATCCAATACTAATAATAACATATGTGAAATACATTATTATCGAAAATGTGTATAATTATTACCAGATTTATTTCGTACACTGCAATACAACCGTGAATAAAAAGAAAATTTCAAATAAATTATTATATCATAACACAGTGGAGTTGGAAGCGGTATCCATAATTCATGCTTCAAGATGCACAAGGATTGTATAACCATATACTGAATCTTTCAAACTTTCGTTTTATATATAAGATAAATTTTTATTTGTGCTCTGTTTCAAACAGCGAAAACAAATACTTATTTTAAATTCGTTTTCCCTGCACATAAATTTAATTCTAAATTCATTATTACTTTGTGCAATGGTCCTTTGGATAAATAATAGATTGTAACATTAAAATAATTTTAAGTAGCAAAAAAAAACCCTACTCGATTCCAACATACATATTTCTTTCACAAGTGGCAGACAAGTATCTCACTACTTAGCGGAATGGCGGCATTAAAATGCAAAACACTAGAATCTATGCAAAATTACAGCGCGCCGGGTCAACTGGATTCTGGTGCGAATTTACGACATTTAAAATATAGTAAAGAGTCAGTAGGACAAAAGTGTATATTATTAAACCGAAATTGCAGCTAATGAAAAAAAATGTACATTTGCTTTTTAAAAGGAAAAGGGAATATTAAGTACTGCTATTGATATTTAGTGTGATAATATAACAAAGTATCTTTTTAATAAGGCTCTCACATTTATCCTACTAAATTTAATTTCTGAAAACTCTATCAGAATATTTGAAATGGAATTTCATTGTTTGATGTTCTTTTCAGTTTTTCTAATTTTAAAATAACTTTTAAAAGACTTTCAGAAGGGATTTTATATAAATAATATGTGTTTATTTATTAATTATAATATTTAATAATATTTGTCAATTGTATTTTAACTAGTTTTAATGTTTTTTATAATTCAATAAATAAATACCAAAGAATCTGATCATATACATCATGTATTATTTCTACCACTAGTCATAAGATGAAGAAAGATACATCAACCTGTTCTGTAGGCAGTGGGAAAGAACAGTGATAAGAATATAAATATATTATTAAGCTAATAAGCATAAGCAAAAACATATAGACCACATATATGATCTTGAGGTTATTGTGCCCCAAAACAAAATGAACCTTCCCATCATTATTTTACAAGTACTTTAGAATTGTCAAATTACATCTTTATTTCTGTTCCTATATTTGGTTCGGAAAGAATCTACCTCCATCTCGAACAGCATCTTTGTTGAGAAGAGCTATCAAGAAACTGTACAGTTGCTCTTTTCTAAACATATCTAACAATTTATGAGAGCCTATGTATGTACAAAGCTTGTCTCCCATACCAGTCAGTAATCACAACCCAAAACATTTTGATGTACAGGAGATATAAATTATTTAATAGTTTAATTTTCCTTTAAAATAGTTCAATGAATGGAATAAGGACCCTATTTTTTTATATGTATATACTACGACCTAATAAGGATCTCGTCATCTTTTTGAGATGAAACTACACGGACTGGCTGATTTTTTTATTAATATTACTGGTAGTGATTATGTTTCCCTAATTGTTTTTTTTTTTAAATAAAATTAGTACAATTTTAAGTAATAAATAAAACTTAATAATACGTATGTTACATACGATGATACAAGTTCAACAGTTTTTTTTTTAAATACTTAATATTACACAGAACATTTATAGTTATAATCCACTAAGAAGATAGTATCAATCTACGAGTATAACACTTTTTTTTCTCTTCACTTAAATTGATTTGAATATAATTTTGCGATTCAATTTTAAAGTTATCCCCAGCTAATTGAGTTGAAATAAGTTCAACGTCACTTGTTATACCTCTATATTGATCAATTGGATTAAATATATTTTCATAATTCATTAGGAATTTTTCATCAAAACAGTAATAGGAATTAAGACGACAGAACTTTTAGGTTGAATTATTATGCCTTTAATCAATAAGAAACTTATCTCATCTATTAATATTAAAACATCAAAGACGAAGCTTTCAAAAACTTTTCAATGGATGTCGATAGCTCACGAAATAACTTCAATTTGAAGGGAAGTACAAACCATTGTTGCTCTATCTTTTGTCCTACGTTCGTTATAAGACTTTAATGTGATCAAACAAACCTTTCAAATAATCTTATCTTGTAAGATGAACAAACTATGTCTCAATATTATAATTACATTTTTAACTAACAAGTTAAGTTAGCAGATATTTTCGTTTGTGATAATCCTAAAAATTATACATTACCTATCATGAACTTAGGTTGTATAGGTATCAAGTACAATATATCGATCATTACTTCTTACAACAAAAATGTTCCAAAGAAAACTAAACTTTGTATTATATAGCGGAAAGTTTTAATTGGATTGTCCTGGAACCGTATTGTATGGAAATGCTTTCGAATTATATTAAGGCAATTTTTGCGTATACATTTCGAATTTTTCTAATGTATCAATATACTGTAGCTCAGGTGAAATGATGGCCAAGATATAAGCGTGACAAACTTTTAAATTATAATGGTATTTAGGTAACAATCATTTATAATGGTAGAATTCTTACGAAATCAAGTGCATAGAAAAACATAGATAAGATGGATGACAAATGTTACAGAAAAGTACAATACAGCAATATGAATTTATAATTTACGTTTACAAAAATTTTATATTATTTATGACTCTAAGAATTTTTTCACACAAAACGTTACAAAGAATAAACTTAAATAAATAGGTATCATAACGGTGTTCTCCTCAACCCAAAGATATGAGAATAGAGATAGCATTTAACATTGAACAAAAAATATTTTACTTCCAACTTCACCTCACCTAAATTTCGCTATTTACATTTTCATTATGAATCTTACTTGCGAAAACTTGAAAAATGGGACACGGTCATTATTCCTATTTCTTTTTTGCATGTCATCGTGATACGAAACCGTATTTTTACAATGCTCGAAGCGCTACTCGAATGAGTTATATACAAACAAAGGAGGGTACAGTCAACAAAAAAGCTCATTTGCACTCAGCTTTGGCACAGCAGCCGTTGTAGCGTCGATCCTCCGGAACAACGATCGCTATTTGAGTGGAGCCAGTCATGTCTGACGTAATTTATAGAATGTAGCGACGAGATACTTAAAAGAAATCAACTTTATTAGAAATTGCAGGAAGAAATAAGAATACTCATCTTTTATACAATGAGAAATTGATATAAATAAAATATTTCAACAAATATACTTTATGTAAAGTAAAAAAAAAAAAACATTTTATATAGTAGGAAAGTAAAAATTTTGTAAAGCTATGTAGAAGAGTTTAGTTTTGTTTTGCCTTGAAGGTATTTAACCAATTATATGACAATATAAATCATAATTTATGAATATTTAAAGATATCATTCAAAAATATTATCAGTTATGAAGGGTTCTATACAAAGTACCAGTAGTACTATTCTGTATTTTGTATATCGCGCTTAGTTTTAATTTAAGAAACTCTCTAATATCCGATCAAATAAAGCTGGCATAACTGTTGGGTTCACGCAATTATCTTGTTACTTAAACCGTAATCCGCTTGTAGTGCTTCAACTGAGTCGTGTCAAGTGGCCATTTGTCCGTCACACTGACCGTTTGGAGTATCTCAACCATGACTGTTTATATTTATGTAACGAAATATGGATGTACTACATTCAAACACTTATATTTGAGATTTCGTATAAATAGTGAATAATTTAATGAAGAAATATATAAGAACAATTAAGACTAATGAAAGTCGAAGTGGCCAAATAAAGGTGTCCTAAGATTTTGTGTACTGTCATTACGAAGGCCCGGATGTTAAATCTGGTAATACCTATATATATTATATTAATTTCAACCATATACCTCCATGCGTTTCCGAGATAAGAATATTTGACAGACAGACTGGCAGACAGTCGGCCGATCAGATAATAAAGTGATCTTACAAGGGTCTCATATATTATTCGAGACACGAAAACCTTTTAAAGTATTACAAATTGTTTTTCAACTTACTTAGATTTGTTCTTTAGTAAGATCGCATTTTTGTTAGTTTGATTACAGATTTGATCAATCATTGAAATAGGTGATCGATTAAGGGTTATATAGTTTTCAAATAACATAAAAATACGCATTTATTATTATGTGACTTCATGAGCTGAGAAGTTTTGTCTCACTAGATACAAATGCATGTCTTCAAAAATAAATATATAGGTATCACCTTAAACAAAATTCATATTTAATTGCATATTTTAATTTTATTTTCAAACATAAAAAGTTATGAAACGATATGACTAATGGAACTTGTGCATGAAATTATAATATATATCTATAAGAAAACTTTAGATAAAAATCTAGATACAACACTTAAAATAAGTAATAAGGTGTATTTTTAAAGGTGCAGTGAGTATGAGGTCATCTATCCAGTATGGCCACAATGTAACGCCGTAACATGACGCCAAGCAGCTTCACTCTTTACATCACCAGCCTACTGTGGCTTGATCTGACACACGCTAAAATTGGTAAGAAATTTTATAGAGTAAATTAAAATTCGTAAGAAATATTATAGAGCTTTTAATATTACCCTTGACATGATACTTAGTGATTCGGAATACAAAACCGCGCCTTTGTTAATAATAATTTAGTAACACAAATAAAGATACACCTTATATATAACTTTATTGTGTTGTTATTCTGAGAAAATTTAAATTTGTTGGTAGTTGATAATTTCGTCGGCATTGGATCCGAAGTAACATCGTTTCAATAGTTAGCGTGTCTCCATGGAGAGGGCATATTCGCCGAAACGTCCAGCGCGGTTAAAAATTCACGATCGCGTTAATCGGATTGTTTCAATAGATAAAAATAGTCAACTGATATATATTTAAATATAAATACTATATATAAAGGGTGTTTTTTTTAGAGATATACAACTTTAAGTTGCCAATACTTTTTTAACTGGCAGTTATTTTGATAGCTGTCCAGTGATTTGTGTTTAATTTGGTTTGGCAATTCATCATGAATAGACTAACGCCTGAACAACGCCTCCAAATTGTGCAAATTTATTTTGAAAATCATGGCTCTGTTCGAGAAACGTATCGCGCACTACGTCCATTTTAAGGTCCACATAATCGTCCATCAAAATAATTAATTTAATTAACAATGGATCGTTTACTTTAAATGGTAATACGCATCCACAGAGATGGCCTACAGTTCGTACAGAAGAAGTTATTTCTGCTGTAGAGCGTAGCGTAGAAGAAGACGCGAATCAGTCTGTCCGCCGAATAATTGGTCCGTACTTCTATAGAAACGATGCTGGCCAGAACGTTACAGTAAACGGTGACTGCTACAGAGCGATGATTAGTGGCTATTTCGTTCATCAATTAAACAACCATAATGTTCAGGAGTCCTGGTTTCAACAAGACGTTGAAACATGTCATACAGCTCGTGCCACAATTGATTTATTAAGAGAAACATTTGGTAACCGCATAATTTCATGTTTCGGACCCGTGAATTGGCCCCCAAGATCATGCGATTTAACGCCGGTTGATTATTTTCTGTGGGGATATGTAAAGTCGTCAGTCTACGCTGACAAGCCCGAAGCCGTTGATCACTTGGAGGATAACATTCGTCGCTCTATTGCCGATATACAGTCACGAATGTTGGAAAAAGTCGTTGAAAATTGGACCTCCAGATTAAACTACGTACGAGCCAGTCGGGGAGGTCATATGCCTGAAATCTTATTTTAATTATAATGAAAGAATATTATCTTTTCAAAATATTATATTTCATATCAATAAAAGAAATCTTTTTTGTTTTATTTTATTTCAAAGTTCTATACCTCTAGAAAAAACACCCGTTACATACATGTTTTTAAGAGTAATTATCCCTATTAAAAATAGTTTCCCGTGTTTGTGAAGACTAATATGAGATATAAACTGTGTAAAATTTACACATAACCACGATGATGTAGTACGCTCACGATCGACGCTCAGTCTAAATTAAAGTCTCTGAGACGCGAGACACTGTATGATGCACATGACAAACGGTTAGATGGAATTCTCTCATAGTGTAACTCGTCTTCAAAGAATAAAGTAGTGAATATATGAAACCAATTTTTCACTTTATACTGTATGTATTGTATATATTTAGAAAGTCTTTTTTATTTTCATTTGACTTTTGAGTATAAGATGTTTACATTTTTTATAAAAGATTAAAATATAATATTTCATCGTCTTTTACTTCCAATTAAAATTTATTAAATAAAAATAATCAATTAAATTTCCGAAATAAAATGTTTTTTTACCAGTTTGTTAATGAAATAAGATAAAATTTTAATAAAAGTTGCGATATCATTTTAATATTTATTAAACATTCTACTCCTCCCAATTTCTAAATATATCATTAATAAAATTGTAAGATTAGTAGGAACAAAGAAACTGATAAACACGTGGAAAACATTATTGCTTCCTTTTCTATGCTTCTTTGCTATTGCCTAACAAGTCTTTTGGTATTTTCCTTCAAGCAAACAAAAGGATTCCAATTGCTTTTATATAGTGCCATTGTTATAAGAAAAAATATTTGTAATATTCTGCGTAAAAATCCATTATAATATCTTCAAATATTCTTTTACAAATTTCCTGTTATCATCTATATACATATAAATAAATAACCCATTAAATACAAAATTTATGACAAAACGAATAGTAGGTGATATATTAATATCGTTATATGTAGCTTTGACGGCTATATCTTCAATGATTAAGGAAATCAAATATGATAAATATAGTATGGTTTGTATTGACATAAAAATTTGTTTTCCATTATAGTGTCTCTATAAACAAAACCTGTCATGAAATATTCATAATAAATTGATTTAAAAATTAGAAACAACTAATACTATAACTTCCAAATATAATATATTCTAGTGTAAAAACAAATAAATTTGTGCTGTTGTCCTGTTAGACCTGCATTATGCATACTCGTACTAAATTCAAATATTCTTCGCAGGTTACTTCTGGCACATCACAGATCTTCATTATGACCCGTTCCACAACTCCCTCGAGTTACATAGAGGTGAGTTTTCGGGTTTTCATTTTTAATTTTTAAACTTGGTATTCACGTAATTGTCTTTTTGTTTGTTTTGATTTATATCGCGTATTGGGATTTGAAACGGCTTTTAAAACTCCATAGCTATTATTTCTCCTAATTTCGTTGGTTTTGTTTTGTTTGAAACTTTTGTATAAATTTTATGTATAAACGCGGAGCGACTCGGAATTTCTGAATTTGATTTACTTAATATAGATTTAAGTCATTGTTTCGTTGTTTTTCAATAATTTACATGAAACAGACATATTTTCTGCGGTACATTTCGAATTTTTATATCATTATGGAATAAAAATGACATTTTATGATGGAAAAATTTCTATTGTCATTTGTATTTCTGATATAAGACTAAATACGTACGAAAGATACTCGTAGAGGTCTGTAGCAAATCACGTAGCCATGTTACAATTTACCGTAGAGCTCGAAGCCAGTCGAGTGTAAAGAATCAATGACACTGGGTGTTTTGAAGCGAATAAAATTGAAATGAGTAATACATGTCGTGTGTAAAAATAATTTGGAAAGATATTTTTATATTCTATTTCAAAGTATTTTTTAAATTTTATTATACATATTTAACTATTTATTGAATGTTAAATTCGTGTTTCAAATGTTTATCTTATTTCTTAAAAATTAAAGCTGAAACGATTTCAATTAGTTCTAATTCCATTCGTCAAGAGGCACTTTAATTGTAAAAAGAAAACATTTTTCTTGTAATTGCGAAATTTTTTCAAATTACAAATTAATTACGTTGTGGTTCTTCAATCTCTGTTAGTTTATTAATGTGGACTTAAAGATTAGCATTTTAACTTAAAATTATTTATAAGATTTATATTATTGAAACAATAAAAATTTTGGACAAACCAAGAATCTGTTTAAATCGGTAATTTCAATAAAACTCTATACTTTTTTACTTTAATAATGTAATACTCAGTACATATAGTATTTACTAAAGCTGTTAGTAGATGATTTCGTTGGAACATATTTCTTTGAAACAACAGTAAATGTGTAAGCTGCCTAAGCAATATCTTCTCAATACGATATTAAGCATTCATTACACGTATCCTTTGTGGCACAAGATGGCTTGTAACATCGTGATTTGCTTTAAGTCGAGTCAGTGTTTTAGTACAGTCAGATAAGGAAAACAAAAAAAGGAAGATGTTATAAGACTTATGTATGCCAAATATTGATGACCTATGAATACATAACGAGAATTCAATAAATGTAGTAAATATAATGAAAAAACAAATGTTCAGATATTTAAACTTGGTTAGAATTGGCTGTGTAATCCAGTTTAAACTTGAAGCTCAGTTTCAGTAATCTTAGAGGATACAGTTGTATGCAGTTATAGTGATATCTCTTTAAAACAAGTTATGTATGAATTAATAAAGTCTTTATTATATACACTTACAATGAACATTCCCTATAGTATTTATATAATTCTCAAGAAATTTTATAACATTTATAATAATTATATCGCACGTCATATTTTATAGCATGTGAGACATTTTAAATTTTCTTATAATATTTTATACGAGCAGGTACATAAACTAAGGAGTATTTAAAAAAGTCTTTTAAAGGGCTTACTCGCTCATGATTTTAAGAGAGTGCACTCAGGAATCTAAAATTTTATACACAATAATAGCATTGAAATTTTGCGGTGTGTACTACCAAATGTACATTTTAATACATAATTCACATTTCAGGTTTTACTAAACGCTTTTGTAAAACCTCATTAAATGAGAGCCGTTCTAATTAACATAACATTCTAGGTTGCAAGCACAGTCGTGGCAGCAATGAGCACAGCCACCGCAATGGCCGCCACCGTGACCACACGTGTGACAGCTCGTGGCCACTCATACAAAGCGCTGCCACATTCATGGCCGAACGACATCCTGATACGTTAGAATTTGTACTATGGACCGGGTAATAACACGAAACATTAGTTTGATTTGAAGTATTGAGTATTAGTAAACGATCCTTTTAATTAACTTTAAATATTGCAATACGAGTTTATTGGTTATTATATTGTTTTATTTATTTTGTCATAAACAAATTTTGTGTTCCCAAAACTTAAATGAAATTAACAAAGTATTTGTGTTTGGAATTTATTGTTCGAAGTTCTTGGGCAAATGCCAATGGGACTGAAATATTGACACTATATTTTAAACTACGTCCATTTTATTTTATATTTCGTTTGTTGTATTACAATGCCATCGTTTCTGTTCGTTGGTGTGTAACAGTTGCCTTAATTACTAACACAGTTTGCGGTGGACAGAGCAACTCTGTTTGTATAGGGTAGAAATTTGATAGAGCGATGGTATTATCAAGGGCATATATATAAAATGTATAATTTCTGTATAATGTTGAATGCTGTTATACAATAATATTGATAAAATGATAAATAACATAGTAATAAAATTTTCATCATAATGCTATTTGGAATGTAATATTAAAATTATAATCATTAAACTTAGTAATATAATACAAAAAATGGATTCTGAGAACTCACCAAAACGACTTTGTCAAAATTTATTAAAGTTAGTTGTAAGACATGAAGTTTTTACGGGTGCTTAACCTTCTCTGAAACGCTTAAATATACTTCGACTAACTGAATACAATACTGTGAACAGTTCATTTACTCTGGATTTAATCAAAATTTAATTTCTAATATAGTTAAGAGTTTTGTTGTAGTTTTAACAATCAATATCATTTCAAATATACTTTATTAAATGTCTAGAACTAGTCGTATAAAAATGTAAAGTTTGATTTTATATATACGATATATAAATACATACATCTATTATATGTTATTAGTATATAAAACATTCGTATGTTTCACAGGGACATCTTGTCATCATCTATGGAACATCTGAGTGATGAAATCAAGCTAGAGGCGGTCAGAAACGTTACTGACATACTAAGTCGTACATTTAGTAGCCAGTTTGTATTTCCAGCATTGGGTCACAACGATCCTCCACCATCTAGGAAGTTAGTGGACATGTGGATGCAGTGGCTGCCTACCGAGGCTTTACAGACTTTTGAGACAGGTATATAATAACTTATATTGTGTAAAAATCTAAGTTACTAGTAGCTAACAAGTTCATACTTATTTTAGGGGGTTATTATACAATAGAACAGTCTCACAGCAAACTCCGAATAGTTGTTCTTAACAGCGTGCTTTGGGCTGGAGGTGCGGCTAAGACTGACGGTCCCCACAGAGGTCGAGCGCAGTGGGAGTGGCTCGAACACGTCCTTAGCAAGGCGAGAAGGAAAAACGAAATGGTATTTATATTTCTTTTTTGACATCATAAAAATATAAAGTATGTGACCAGTGATATTGTATCATATAAAATATGTGGGAGCTACTTTTTATTATTTGAACACAACTGTTAAGAACATGTATGCCTGAGAGCTTAGCAAATAGTTTGATACTTGCTAGAGTGTTTTATGTAGTTTGTATCGTACGTTCAGTGTTCTTGACATTTAAGGGATGGAAAGTATTTTATAAATATTACACTTTATTACTTTAAACTATGTTAATGAGATCTAAGATCTTCGTTTATCGTCTGTCCATGATCACGGTTGCTGAAAAGTAGCCGAGACGCCGGGAGTATGTAGTTTTTCACAAAAAAAAAACTGCGTAGTATATCTCAATAAAATGATTTTCATAATAAATTATGTTCTACAAATGAATAATTATATTTCGTATGACATTTCAATGATATTGTTGTATTTTCTGCTAGGTATACTTAGTAGCTCATGCTGGGCTAGGTGTTGAAGAACGTCATAACGCTGGGAGCTCGTCCGCGTCAGGCGGTGGAGAGCTTACTCCGACTGCTAACGCGAGATTATTGCATGTCATCAGAGCATTCAGTGATGTCATCGCCGGCCAGTTCTATGGACATCGGCACGCAGATACATTCAGACTTGTTTATAGCGAAGGTAATGTTGCAATTCTGTGATACTAAGATATCTATTGTATATAATGAAATGTAGCTGTACAATAAGTCAAAGACATGAAATTTCATGGTTGACAAACGATATTTTTAATGAATGAGAGTGTAAAATTTTCTTTTTGTATTCTCCTAAAATGTTTTTAAGTGAAGTTTATAGACGAGACTTCTTAAGCATAAGATAAAGTTGAGATACTATTTTTAGGACGACCTGTGTCGTGGGCGCTCTTGGCACCGTCTCTCACTCCACGAGGTGCGGGCAGTGTTTCGAATCCAGGATTAAGGCTTTATAAATTTGAATCTAACACAGGAAAAGTAAGATAAAAGTTTTTTTAAACTAACAAGTTTTTAAGAAAAGTACTTCAATTTATTTACTCATTTGTAGTTATATGTATATTTTGTTGTTGTTTATTAACTCGTGCTCAGAAATTATTATATTTTTTTGCTCTCTTGAAAAAATATCTTAAGAATACAATAATATGACATATATTTGAAGGTATATAAATAAATATAATAAAATATTACAATCCAAAAAGGTTGTCTGAAAAAATGTGTTTCTATGTGTAATCCGAACATGTAATAAAAATAAACGACGGACGGAAATGATGACCGAACGAAACATAAAATATATCTTCTTTATTTCTTTACATAAAAGATACGATTTATAACACCTTATATATAAAGTCGGTAATACACGGAACATTTCTAGGAGAAAACATGAGCAGAAAAAAAAAAACATTAAATCCAACGTTATTCAAACCAATATTACTCTCTAAATCATTCCCAACAATTAATAGCTTATACGATATTTTTAAATTGCTATTCTTTATCCCGATACAATATTAATTGCACAGCATTGCGGTCGCTTCCTGAGTTTCATGCACACAGATAGCACTTAACAGAATTGTACAGTATTCCCGACTAACGATGCATGCCCTTAAAATAACATATTGTTGTAGTCATTCGATAATTACATTTAAAATTCAGATAAACTTTACATTCTGCATTCAAATTTAACTATTTTAATCCAATTGCATCTATTTTTAATTCTCTTTTATGCAATTTGAAGCTGAAAGTGATGAAGTACCCAAATAAATCAAAAAAGATATTTAGAAACTATACAAAACAAAAATTTTATATAAACATAATAAAATCCCTACTAATATTATAAATGCAAAAGTAACTCTGTCTGTCTGTTACGCTTTCACGCCTAAACCACGGAACAGATTTTAATGAAATTTGGTACAGAGAATTGACTTTGAGAAAGAACATAGGATAGTTTTCATCCCAAACTTTTGAAAGGTTCTCTTGGAAACGCGATATAACCGAAATCCACGCGGGCGAAGCTGCGGGCGGAAAGCTAGGTTAAAATAAATCAACGTAGGTCAGACCAGTGTTGAGAATTTATTTTTTCCTAAAGATTGTACTTACTATTCTTTCCAAGTAAAACTTATTATTTATATATAATTTTTATGTTTATTTATTTATATATAATGGAATTTTTACAAATAATGGAATTGGTATTTAAACACACTTCAAAGATTTCCTGCCAGAAATACGCATACACAATTTTGCTTCGAGAAAATATAAAAGAATGAACAGAGTAAAATGTTTATATATCGGAGCCTAATGAATTGAGTTTCCGAAATAAACTTTTGATCTCTAAACATGTTTAATCAACGGGATGCCATGATAAAGGAAATAACATGACGTTGCCTAATTTCAGCCAGTTTCGCCCCTCCTCTACTGTGTCTGAGGAATTCTGATGCTGTGTTAGCCTTATGCAGCATTAAAAGCGTTGGATACGATTAAATTAAAGATTTATTTACGCTCCATTTATTAACAGTTTTTTTACATTTACATTGCTTTTACATTTCTTTTCTCTGTTTACTTTATCGAAACAATATCGTTGTGTACTAATGTTGTTTGGGATAAGATAATTAACGAACTTTTCCAAATATGACTTACGCAAACCATATTCATATTGATGTCGAGTTATAAATGCTTTTATCATTAGTAATTAACATTTTGTTTGCAGGTATTAGATTATACACAGTATTATCTAGATGTAACAAATACAAGAGGTGAAGCGCATTGGGCCGTTGAATACAATGTCACACAATATTATGGTCTAAGAGAAGTAAGCGCAGTGTCATTAGATAATTTGGCTGAGAAGATTAGAAATTATCCTGATAGAACCTATCTTAACAAGTAAGTAAATAATTTACAAATTGTTCCATTTGTAGTAGAAAAGGTTTATTATGTATGTGATTGTGTCATTATTATTTAACGTAAGTGGCACAAAGCAAATCGTGTTATGCTAACTATACTGTTTTAAACACATTTTAGTAAATAAAGTTTTATATACATTTATATAAATACTGAATGATCGTGACATACTATCTAAATGAAATCTATTTTAACTTTAAAGGGTTTATTTATATGTTGTTAATTATTTGAATACTGATTAGGTATTTATCAGCTCTGCGGGTGCGACACGCCACTGATGTATCTGAGTGTGACACTGCATGTATTCACGTGCATTTCTGTGCGATAACTCGAGCCGATTTCCATGAATTTCGCTCGTGTGTCCGCAATCCTGCGTCGGCGCTAGCATCGCGTGCGCCTCATACTTCTGCTGCAATTTTGGTTTACGCCATGATAGTTTTGCTATCGTCTTAAACCATAGAAGACCATTAGTTGAAATTACGTATAGATAAAAATAGTCATTGAGTTCTCATGAATGTATAAATATATGATATGTTAATGTATGTCCGTTTTTGTAATTCATTGATAAATGTTAATATTTTCGACGTGCTACATTTTTTTTTAATATTTTATAAATTGTAGAAATGTATTAAAATGCAATACATATGTACTCAACATGCTTAATAAATTCTCAGTATTAGTTAGCAAACATCGTAAGTGACAGTAGTTATATAGGCTATAAGCTATCTTCTTAATTTTATCTACTCAAAAATTTTTAAATCGAGTATTGTATAAATATCATTATTTGTAACTACATGCCATCAGAATGTAATTATATGAAACCAGGTTAACGTAATTTCATTACTTACTGAGGGAAGTCGGAGTTCTCAATTCAGTCTCTGAGGTGTGTTAATTAAATATTCCTTTTCCAGTTGCATCAAAGTTTGTAATAGACAAATATAAATTGCTATTCGGAGTGGTTTAACTGTTAAGTGTACAGTATTATAAAATGTAATCAAAGCTAGATTATACAATTCTAAACTATAAAATGGCTATTTGTTAGTGTCTTGAGAAGATTGCTTAAAGATTTTATTATCGTAATGTATAAACGACTCACGAAATTAAAAAACCAAAATTCACTTATAAACGTAATATCTATTTAAAAAAGAGGCAATTTGAAATTCCTTTGTTGAATCCACTTAGTAGAAAGAAAAATAAAGCACATCATACAATTTTTCCCCATTATGAAAAGGAAACACGCTCTGATTTTGGGGAACCAATTTCTATACATCACTGTCACTGGGTTTCTTGAAAGTAAAGTAAATTACGAATTAAGGTTCTGTGTTTTATATTATTTCCATTTTTTTTTGATAAATTTAAATTAAATATAATGAAAAGTGAAATTCGCGTTAAACTCAATAAATTCACATAAGACTGGTGTGTCACATAAAATAATAAAACATTCCGTCAACACTTCTGCTTATATTCCATAATATTTCACTCTAATAATAATATGAATTAATTAAAATTCAAATTGGTTGCACATCTACTAATAACATTTCCATTAGATGCTGGTAAGACGACGAAATACTACAAATAACTGTATGTAAATGATTTCGCATAAATTTTAATGTAGAACGCCAGAGATTTTAAGAACGTCATTTTTTTATGAAAGACGAAAACAAAGTCAAAATCTGGTATAAAATAAAATAAATGATAATTTTAATCATTTTTTGGTTATGCCATATATAGCATAAAATATAAATAAGATACAGAACTCTCAAGTTTTATACTAAAAAACATAGAGGCATATGAATAAATAATTGTATTCGCAGGCAGAATCCTAAAGGCGGACTTTTTGATCGCTAAAATTTGTACCCCTCGTTACTTTGAAGGTTAATCTCATTACGTTTCCCCCTAAAAAGGCCATCACTTCCTGTGAACATAAAAAGGATAGATGTTGCCATAAAAGAATTTCAAATATACTATCCGAACAGATTATAGAGATTATTAGCGGCAAAAACGTTTCGATGTTAAAATGGGTATAAAACAATATTCCTAGATAAGAGTATTAAAGTATACAACTAAAAATATTCTTATTTAAACTGATTTCAAATAATTTTAATGGTATTTATATTAATGAAGTTTAGCTTGATATTAATTTATTAAATATATTATCTCTTTATTAATTTTTTTTTAAATAATGAAATATTTTTTTGCGAAAGTATTGTATGTCAAAAGAAACCAAATTATATGTATAAAAAAGCTAAGGGAGCTTCAATAATTCGTATCGATATGTTATATTTAATACAACTTTGTTAAAGTAATATTGATACTTAGCGCTCCGTTATAAAAAAAAAAACTTGTTCTACTTTCGTCGAACCAAGCAATCTTCTCAAGCATAAAAACAACTTTTAGAATATGTATTGCTGATTTAATTGTGATATTTGAACTTTTGTATATAATTACAAGTAAGAATCAATGTAATTAAGAAAAATATAATTGTCGAAGATATATTGGCTTTTATTTGAGAGACACCTTATTATTAAGTCTGAAAATTACACAACAATGCTAAATGATCACCATATTTTAACACAAAACATTTATGTATTTGATTTTCAAAGTTACTTACAAAACACATATTAGATATGAAAAGGGTACTTCTTATAGTTCTAACATTCATATATTCCAATTTCTTTAAGAATATTTTCTTAGGAAACGCTCTTCTGTGGTTAATCTTCTTGGCACCCCTAAGATGCTTGGAAAAACGGCCCGTATAAAACCTTTTTTGTTGTGAAAAAATATTTGACCAATATTCAATGACCTTCGTGAATTTTATTTTAAGATCCTAAGCATATACCTGAACGCAAAAACATGGGTCTTGTTATAACGTAAGCTGGGTACCGTATGAAAACATCTGCATTTAGGGACGGAAGGGTTAAAGGGGAATAGTAGGAAATAAGCATTTATGACATCAGAAAAGTATTGTAAAAGGTTTTTTTTATATGTTAACTTCTAAATTACTTAAAAATGTCATGTAAACCAAACAAATCAAAACGGATAATTTTTAAAATATGTGACTCATACTAAAATCGATATCAAAACCATATGGTAGTAAATTTTTATAAAAGGTAACTTAGAAACTAGCTCATATTTAGTAATAGAAGTTACATTTACTACATATTTAAAATAAAGGAGGAGGAAGTCATAAGCAGATCAATAAATTATTTTTATAAGGTATGAAAAGTGGTATTCAAAAATATTGAAATTCTTAGTTTACTAAAGCACTGAAATAAAATAGTTTAACAAAATCACGATTACCATGTAACCGTTTGCGACCTTGGACACGATTTATTTGCTTATTAAACAAGCCTATAATAGAAAAGGCTATAAGATATTTTGTTCTTGAACAAATAATTCCAACAGCAAAATAATTGTATATTAGTTTCGGGGCCCCATTTTTGTGATAAATTTATGAGTTTCTAATGTATATTTACTAAAAGTCAAAAAGTTCAAAGATTAAATATATTATGTGGTTTTTAAATACATTAAATATTTACAATAATAAAATTGTTATGTGATTACCGGAAATCTTCGAAGGTTTGGCCACCTTCAAAATGTCATTATAAAGCATCGGCCTTATCCCTTTCAAATTACAAATTAAAATATGATTGATTATTCTCTCATTATAAATCTACACAAAAGAACGTAAAATATATTATTAATAGAAAACTACACAAAACATTTAGCTGTATTGATGAAGATGATCAACATGAGTTATTATATAAGTACATAGTTCCGTACTTTAAACATTTCTTGGACAGTATGACATGCTGTTTACTTTTGTTTGTATCTCATATCTTAACATGCTCGTAGGCGTGAGCTATTTAACAAACGAAAATAAATTTAAGCAGGGGAAATTAAAACAGTATTTACCTGGCAAATGTCATGTAAACATACGAAAATTCAAAACAGATGGATTCAGGTAACAAAGCCCAACTAAGAAACAATTAAAAAAAACAAAGGTGCGTATTTGTTATTCACATCCATTTAATATTCAAACCGCTGTGGCTTTTTCGTAACTAATTAGCCAACATAAAGAGTACACAGAATTTAAGAGCGTCGGTTATAATTTTTGTATTTGTCAGTACCTCACCGACCTTCTTTGGTAATTAAGTTTGTTGTAAAATTAATCAACTTGAATCTCTGACCCATCCCTGATTCTGCTGTTATAAAATAATATTAGCAAGTTATAACAAAACTAATTCTTAGCTCAGTACAGAACCACATAACACCCTTTGAAAAACGCAATATTATAACAATTATGTTTTATATATCACGTAAACTATAATAAATTAAAATTTATATTCAAATCATATCAAATGAATAACTTTGGGTGTTCAGTTTAAGTACTTCTATATCGACCTAGTGATTTAAATTTTTATTTAGAAAGGCTGGTTATTTTTTTAAATAAATTGAAATGAAAAACGAAGGAAATCTGTTTATGAGCACATAAAATTGCACAAAAAATCCCGCTTTTTCACTGAAGAGACCGCAGCGCACAAAATCAAATTAGCTCACTAATAGAGCAAAGGCATTCCTTTAAAGTGTGCACTTTGTTCTCGTATTATTGTACTGCAAAAGTATACAATTACCATTATTAATTCTTTATTCTCCAGTTCTTTTGCCATCGTTAACATTATATTGCTATTATACAATTTATTTTAGGTTTTGTTGTTTTTTTCTTGAATCGGACAGTCAATAATACCTATTAATTATTATCAATTTATTTATGTATTTAGATTGCAAAGATCACCTGACCAACGCAAGGAGACCGAGCACATAATAAAAACTTAACTCTTTTTATTTATGTCATGGCTTTTATTAATATATTATTATTATTATTAGGGTTCTAAATTTTATTTGTAGAATAGTTGATAGTTGATAGTGAATTCCCTAATATTCTATTGATCATTATGTTTTAGATTACAATTTTAAAAATAAATAAGATTATAAAAAATTATAACACATGTTCATATGAAGGAAGATACCTGAAATGTACAACGTTCAAAGCAATCTACAACTTGCCTACTGTCACTCTATGCCTCGTGACCTGACCCGAGCACTTGGCATGTACGATCCGCTGGAAAACTTGGCACTAATAAGTGAAATCTTTAAGCGTACAAATTTAGTCCAATTAAAATAAAGTATAGAACGGAATTTAAGTACATTTTAAAAGTCTTGCAAGAAGTTCAGACATGCGAGCATGTTAGTTTTAAGTTAGTGATTTAGTCTCTGAACTTTGCAAAGAGACTTTTTATAATATTAATAAACATCAAACAGATGTAGATCCTCGTATTAATTAAAAGTGTATATTTGAACGAAAAATATGTTTTTGCAAATGCACTAGGAGGGAAGTTATTTTAATATATATATATATATATATATATAATTTTATATTGTTATGTATCAAT